TATTGCAGTCAGATAGTGACAGGCAAAGGACATAAATCCCAGAATGTGTTTCTGTAATGCCTCATACTGCACACAGCAGCAGAATCAACGTGAAGGGAGATGTCATGCCAGTCCTCATCCCTCCCTCCCTGCCTATGCAGATGAATCAGAAGGTGGATTGATATTTTTTTTAAAGCACAGTCCTTTTGGCAAATTCCAGCAGGAGTACTCTCTTCCACCAGCCAACATACCACTGTATGATGACATTTTTCAGTTCTCTCTTTTACCCCACAACTTGATTTCTGTCCTTAACACTATATTTTGTCCATGAGGCATTTCATAAAATTTTGTGGCTGCAAGGAGAGTTGCAGAATCAGCCAGCCCTAGAGTTGAAAATCTCTATTAAGTTACTGCACACCAGCTACTGTTTTATGTGCTCTTCGCCCACTCCTGCTCTGTAACCTGGACTTCATCACCTGATTTCCACAGATCCACATTGAGAGAAAGGGAGAGAAAGGCAAGTAAGTCAGATCCATCACAGCTATGATTTGAACCTCTTGAAGGGCCTGTTTATCATGTGATAAAACACTCTGGTGAAAAATAAATGTATTTGTGTAAGATCAAGGGAGATGCGAGGATTGGACTTGTATTTACTCGCAGGCATCCTGGAAAACACTGCATGCGTTAAGACTTCTTAGGACCAGAGCCACGCTCTTGCAGAGCGGTGCCCTCTCGCCCCCCCGCCGTGGGGAGGCCCCTGCCAGGCGGGGAGCAGGAGCGTTCCCCGGCACCAGCCCCGCCCGGGGAAACTCTCCAGCCGGCTCTTGCGATTCCTGTGGGTGTTTCCAAGCCATGAGAAGCAGTGGCAAGAGCAGGTCCCCGTGCGGGTGTGTCTAACCAAACCAGTACTCCAGCTGAATTTACTGAAACGTAAAAGCTGTCCTCGACATGGAGCAAAGGCATCCCACCACCGCCAGCCAGCAGAAGACAAGCCCTTTGCTTGCTCTGCGGCACCATCTAGCGCTAACACAGTAACAACGCCCTTGGGAAAACAAACCCACTCCGGGTTACACCAAGTTTAGGAACAACTCAAAATCAAGGCACATAAACACACATTTGTGGCAGGTGCAACCAACAGATGAAAACAGTGCTTCTTGGCTGCTGAAGTGATGGATCTTTTTCCATGTCCGTGTTCTCAGGGCTTCACAGTAGTTGGGGCCTTTGGCCAACTATTAACCACAGATCAGATTCTGGGTATAAATGCAGTCCCCTGGGGGAGCTGTTTTGAGCTAGTCCCCCCTGGAGCAGCACAGTGCAGTCAAGGACTCTCCCCTTGGGTGGGGACGCTGCCCAAAGAAACTCGCCGAGATGACTTGGGTCAGGACACTGCCCTGAGAAGCTCCTAGAAACAAAGTCCTCACTTGTTAGGCGAGTGATAGAGCGCTTTGGATTGTCATTAAACCCCAAGTGATAAAGCGTTTTGGGTTGTCATAAAACCCTAGGGAGTGGTGTTTTGTTTCCCTTTCACAGCATTTGCACCTGCTGTTGCATGGTTGCAGAGGGCTGGTTGTTTATTTGAGAGCCTCTGTTAGCAACATCCAAAACAAGGAAGGCAGCTAATGATAACCCCATTTCACTTTACACATGCTAGGGCCTACTTCTGTCACTACGGCATCTGTCAAGTCATCCAAACTGGTTGCATACTTGTTAACATCCCAGCAGCATGCACCTCAGAGCCTGGCCATGCTCATTACCACTGTTCCCATTAGACTTGGCAGATGAGCCAGCAGCAGCCATATGTTCTTTAAATAGCCTCGCAGCTGCCTCTCTCCCATTTCAGGCTGGGGGCTGCACTGCTGCACTGGAAATCACAGCCGAAGGGCAACAGCAACAGCTCCAAAACAACGACCTGTCAGCCTTTTGAAAGGTGCTCAGATACAGCACTCATACACATGATCTCCAACAGGTAGTAAAGCAGAGGAAGAGGTGAGCCCAGCTCTTGGGGATGCTCGCTTCTACTTAACCATTAACTTAGAGATTAATATCCCTGCTCAAACAACCACAAATCCCAAGTGGTTCCCCCCTCCTCTGGAAAGTTTTATCTACTTGCTCCAATTTTATTACCACTCCTAGTTATTGAGGTTGGGGTGGCTTCTTTTTTTCCATTTCCTACATCCAAAAAGTTCACTACATTATAAACTATATGATAAAAAAAAAGTTTTATTTTTTCCAAGAACAGCATAGTTCTTACCATTTTTACAGCTGCTTATTCACAGCATCCAAGGAATGATTCCTGTCACACTGAAAAACTTCAGTGCAAGATTCTTCAGCCTTCAAGTACTCCAGAAAATTTAACTTGAAAACAGTGGGTGATTTTTCTGCAATGATGAAATCTCCAAAGAGTTACAGAGTTCACATCCTTAAATTGTGTAAAGATCTATGGATTTTGAAATGTTGAAATCTAGTTGTTTTTCAAAGTCCCCAAGGGGTCCAACTGAATAATGACAAGCTTGCATTCTTGTGGACAAAAAAAATGCTTTGAAAAATCTCACCCAAGCAATAATACGCTTAATTAACTCTAACCAACACAGCAGTCTTAAAATTCACGTTTATACTTCAACTTCCCCAACCCTCTTTGCTATTTCTGTACGAATTCAGCACATACTGAAACCTACTTATGTACTTTTAACAGAATCATTTTCATTAAAATACAAATAGCACTCCCCCTTTAAAAGAAACACACACACACTCTCAATCTGTAGTAGAATTAAATTAAAACTTTGGGAGAAAAACCTGTTAATCTACAGAGCTGCTTAAATATACATCAGTGACACTGTAGCATATAGGCAAACTGATATAGGTAAAGAATGAATTCTAAAACCATAACCTTTCTCTTCACCCCACCCCCAAGTCTTGATTTTAAATCAGCAAAAACCTATAACCTAATTAGCAATTAAGTTACTTAGACATGTTCTTGCTGGACAGTAACCACCATTTCTAAAATTATCCTTGCTAGAAACAAGTGTTGAATACAGAAATGAATAGCTAAGGCATCCTCCACATTCAACTGACCCTCAGTTGTTTTGGTCCGGGCACCTGTTTTAGCCTCTGGCAGTATCCAGAGGCACACACAATGCATCTGTCACAGTCAGTATTGATACTCAGAGCAGAGTCTGGTATGACTCTGGCGCAAGGACCTCTCTCATATCCCTGCTGCTCCCATTCTCAGTCCTTTCTAGATTTCAGCATATTCAATTCAGGTAAACCTTGGCATATTTGTGTATTCTTCCAGAAGACTTACAAGAGTTTGCTACGTACTTAACCAGCACAACTGTGCAAAGAAGTGCTTTACCTCTATGGCAGAGCTAAGAATCTGCATGTCCTCACTCATCATTAGAAATACAGGAGGTTTTTTTAAACACCTTGAATAATTAGCCAAGATTAAAGATGACCAAGGACCGGAGAATCAATTCTTTCTATTTCACCTTGTTAAAGACAACAAATTCAGGTCTGACAACCACCCAACAATTCTGTTTTCTGAATACAAGCCTTTGGGAAGTGAAGTGGTAACAAGGTAACCAAGATGTTACAATCAGCAGAGAGGCAAAACACATACCTACCTTATATTCTGAATGGACAGAATTGCCTAAGATGTGTCACCAAGTCAAATAATGAAAGCTAGCAAAAAGGTACCAAAAGGTCAGTTAGAAAAACAAAAAACACAGGATAAATTAAATGGGCTGTAAGCAAACGCCTAGTGAATAAGCCACAAAGATTGGACACCAGTAACTTTCAACACTCAAACCTGAGCCAGTAGGTTCCCAAGACTTAGTCCTTGATCACGTAATATACCTGCAACACTTGGTGACAAGATCTGCAGACAAATGGTCACACACAAAATCTGCTTGAGATTAAAAAAATAATACCAATTTTCAAATGGTGGCACTCAGCAGGACCTGATCAACACCAGGGAAAAGCTAGCACAAATGCATTAGTTTCAAGTTTTATTTTTCTTGTTGGTGAAACACATAGCCTCTTCTCAAGAAGCAGCATCTGTAGAGCTATTACAAACACATTTTGTACCTTAATACACCACAGATTTGGAAAAGGAACAAATAAAGCACAGGTTTCACACTGCACTTGGGCATACTGAATCTAAGTTACAGATAATTTAGAAATCTTCTGGTTTTACATATACATTGCATTGGCCATCGCTCAGCCTTCATGCAGAATTTAATTTTATTTTCCTGACAGTCAACACTGGTTTTGGGAACTTTCTTGCTGCAAATGGTATCTTTTCCATTTTAAATCACTTAAATGATATTTACATAAGTGTGCAAAGTGCTTTGAAAGATAGAAACAGACACTAACACATAATATAGACAGCTTCTTCTATAGTTAAACATTTAGTAAAAGGCAGTAAACATTCCTATCACACTTTCATTGCCTAAAATAGGAGAATAAAGTTATATAAAATAGACCATCTTATTTTCAGACACTTTCATTTCTGCAGATTTGGTCTTTACAGCAACATTGCAATCAAAGATTAAGATTCTACTCCTAAAATTCAGAGAAACCCCTTTCAATTCAATGGCAGCTTAACATATTTAGTACAAGTTACTTTTGTCCCAGATTTTACACACTTGGCACAGGGAAAAGAGAAAAAAATCTGGGGGAGTGGGATGACAGTCTTGCACATCTATTTAAATTTTAGGCAATGTGAAAAGCATACTTCAAGAATCTAATGCATAAATTTAAATTTTTCTTTTAAGGGCCTCTTAGTGTTACAAGCACAGTTTAAATAAAGTCTCCAAGTTCTTTCATAGAAGCACACAAAGCTCCCTATTTTTCTTCTTATGCATGTCATCTTCTCAGATATATCCAATTCTTCATACACACAAAAAAGTAGACTCCTTAGGAACACTCAACAAAACTGATTTCAGAACTGGAAGAAGCTAGAAAACCTTGAAGAAAATGATTTAGTGTTCCCAGTGCTCCTAACATGTGCGGGGTTTTTTTTAACTTCTGATAAAGACTTTCCATAAAAAGTGCATAGTCACCTTTATGAACAAATCCAGAAGGTGGAAGCTGAGTTAACAGGAGCATGTTGCTCCAATGGTGAAAAAAAGAAGAAGGAAAGTCACAAAACAGGAAAGTCTTCAAAACCATCTTTCATGTATAATTGTAATTAGAGAAAAGCAACTCAATTTCCAAAGTTTCATTCATAGAAGAACAAAAACTTCCATATATGTCATTAATAACAAAGAGAAATTACCTGTCAGGCAGTAAAGAACTACAGGTGTAGTCTCAAATAGCTTTAAAATCCAAGATGCTCATTATATAACACAAAGAGACAAAACTGCTTTTTGAACACCTATTAAAGTGAATAGTGTGACTTTTATAGCAGCCTTGCCTGCAAATCATGCTGTAGCTGGTGCACCCATCACAATGCTGTCGAGTGCTATCCACTTCAAGGAAAGTGAGTATTAGCCCTCTGAAAGTTTACCTTCATCACAATTACGTCTGACACACTGATATGAGACATCAAATATGTGTCAGACATACACTTGATATTTTTGAAGACATTCAATTCCTTAATACGGCAGAAACTGTACCAACATTTAACACTGTGCTTTTGTTTACTGAAATCCAGGTATCCTGTATTATTCCCAAATCCCTGCTGGATTCCAAGTGATCTCACCCTAGTGCAGATCATGATTAGGTTCTTCTGAAGAAACAGACCACAGGTACAACTTCCAGTGTTGTCAACTTTTAAACATAAAATGGTCAAACAAATTTAAGACACTACAGAAGCTTGCAAAACGCATGACTTGAATCAAATAGAGAAGATGCATTATAATTTGGTTACTTTGGATTCTGAGCTAGTTTGAAAATGCCGTTTGTAAGAGAGAGCTGTTCTATGCTTTGAAAATAACAAAGAATGAAATGTCATTGTAGCCTAGAGTATTGATTAGTAAATAAACACCTAGAATACTCGTGAACTCACACATAGCATTGAAACAGTCCACCCAAGTTTTTGTTGAGCATTGTCTTCAGAGCTTTATATTCAATACACATTATCTGCTACCTTCAGTTTCTTTTTTGGTTATGGCATGCTTCAGAAACACCACTAAGAAAGGTTGTCCACTCCTTCCATTCTCAAGGTATACATTACAAACACTATGTACATATTTTTTTCCAAAGACTTCAGGTCAATAAAGTTCTTAAGATGAAAGATGTGTGTGTACTTTTAAGCTTGCAAGGTAGCTTCAAACGAGTTGACTTAGTATTTTACACACTCACAGGGATACAGCACGCAAAGAATAAGGTATTAAAATAATACTCTGCAGTGGAGTAAAAACACATTGATAATAAATGGAATGCTCCCCCTAGTGCTTATGGAATGCTCCCCCTAGTGCTTATACTAGTGAAAAATCCTGCCTGGAACAGTGCCTTGAATGATGTTAAACAGTCAAATGAATGGTCATATATTTAACTCAGAAAACAAATCACAAACATATTACCGGGACCAAAAAGCATCAGCTGTTGAAATCCAGCATTTCAAATTTTGTACCACTCTCCCTACTCCAGTGCTTCTAAGGTTTTGTTTTCTTTTAAACTGTGCTTTTTGTAAAAAAATTCTCTCATATTTTTCCCATCAACTGAAGGCAGGGCCCTGAAGAAGCTCCTACCAGGTAAGAAATGAAGTCCACAGATGTTTCGATAAGTACAATCATGCTTTTTCTCCTGTATTGTACCCAGAAGCTGCCAAGTTAATATTAGCATTCCCGTATCACAATTGCAATGAAGCTCTGGTAAATCTGGTACCTTTGGATACGCTCAACATCACAAATAAGTCAAATATTTAAGATAACCTATGTCTGCAGCTAGCATAATCCACCAGAATATTCATCCTCTTCCTCATCGGCATGAGAGCCCACTGCAGCTGGTCCTCTTGCTTTGTCTTGTGCAGAGTTTGGAGATTTCTTCTTGATTCCACCTCCTGGGACCACCAAGGTAAGACCAAGCTTGGCATACTGACAATAATAAGGCAAGTTTAGTTTCTGTATTATCTCAGAAGTAAAATCTTGTTGAATTACACTGCACAGAATTGACTGAAGCTCACAACAAGCAAGCAGGTAACATTCAGTACAGAAAACAGACTGATGATGCTTTCAGATATTTTTTTCTAGCTTAGAATAAGCCTAACATTGGTTCATTTTTTATATCTCAAACACTTTCAGAATGGGATGAAATCTGTATTGATATTGCTTATTATAATTTGGCCACATCCTACAGCTTCTCTGGTTCAACCTTTACATACAAAACCTCCAATTTTTCAGTATGTAGCGCTGCATATGTTAGCTAGCAATAGCTCATATAAAGTCTCACAAGTGTTTTTCAGTAAGACTAGTACCTTAATTTTTACTATTCAACATAGTAAAAAAGTAAAATCAATCAATACTGTTAGAAAGTCTGGCATGGAAGGATGTCTCCTTTACTTTACACTTTTCCTATCCTTATACTTCCTAGAATTTACAACTTCAATTTAAAAAAAATAAAGGAGGGACACACCACACAACACACAACTATTTTCTTGAAATAAAACTAAAAAAAAAAAACTTTCGCTAATTATTACCTTGCCAAGGAATAAATGTTAAAAAAAAAAATTCATCAATGCCATCCTGCAGGCATCATATTCTGTAATGTTCATGCATACATGTCAGCTATATGGTATTTCTGAGATAAAGCATAAGCAGCAAACTGTTCTGGCCCCTAAGGAATCAAGCAGAAGGGAACTGGTCAACTTGTCAAACACACTCAGCAAATCCATAACAAACTGCTCTTTCACCTAAGCCTTCCCACCATCTGAAAGGAATGATGTGGGAATTTACACTGGCAAGCAACAAAGTAAAAGAACACAAAGTTCACAGGCATGATGATAGAGCAAGTCACAATAAATACGTGGACTCTGCTTATTTTTCTCTACTAGGAAAAAAAAAATCTCTCAACCTCAACAAACAAAGGGGTAAGATTAAAGAAATATCCTTAGGAACTGCCTACTTACATCATTGTCCATGTATTTGAAGAGTGGCAAATTACAGACTTCAGAAACTTGATCCTGATCTTGCTGATCATATCCTTCTAAAAGTTGCTCTAGTGCTGCACAGTCTTCACTTCCATTAAATCCTGGTATACTGAAGGAAATTAAGAGTTCATTTAGGGCTTTTCAGGAATCAGCTTGACACTCAACTAGTCTATCTTTAAATGCTGCTAATTAATAGAAGAGCAAGCAGCTTTTAATAATCTGATGGACTGTTTATTCCACAAAACTGCGTAAGACCACTTTAATTTCTCCAGGTATATAGATCGTCTCCATAAAATTAAAACTTTCAGCTATATTAGTTTGCATGCTGAAAATAAGACCACAATCATAGATAGTCAAGACAAAAATAGAATATTATAATTTTTCAATTTTTCCTGACTAGTGAATAAACTCTTCCTCCATTTTACGTACAGAAAAATTCTGTGACGAGTTTCTACATCTAAAATACAAACTGAAGGCTTGGAAAACATGAACAAGATGTTTAAAGACTGATCTTGAAAAAATCCTTCTAAAAATAAAGCACAAATTCAATTTACACATATGTTCAAGTCATTTCACTAAAAAGACAGTTTAAGTAAAAATATGTTGTTTCAGTATTTTGTTACTGAAGTCAAAAGCTGAAATGAAGAGTTGCTGGGAAAGCCTCTGGAATGCCAGTTAAACACTAATCCAGATTCTGACACCAGAATTTTCACCTGTGTGTAATGAATGCCTTCTTCATTTCAATGTATTCAACTGGACTACTTTCTGCTTCCTAAATTATCTCTCTAGAAAGCTTGCTTTTCTTCTTCCAATGTATGATAAGGGCAAGATCTCCTAGATCAGCTTAACCAGAAACGTAGTAATTCACAAGCTGCAAACTTTTAACAAAAATATTTAAATTAATCTTTCCCTCAATCTAATCACCATACCAGATAGTTTAATTAATTACCCTGGGATGCTGCTATTGTGCATTTTAAGACCACATTCCATACTTCCATCCTCAAACTGTAATAAAAAATGGTAATGACAAGTAGAATTTCAATTTTTTACAGGCCTCCACACATGACATGGCAGAAAGATTCTGAAAAAATCAACATTCAATTAGCAACATCCAGAAATACTGACTTTTAATCCTAAACATCTGTGTATAATAGTGAATCCATCTCTTCCCTTTGAAAAAAAAGATACAACCCAAAGGATATCAGTAAGGCAAGAATCCGAGCCATAACAGTATTCTGTTCAGCTTTTAACGAGGTAAAAAAAATGGGAGGAATCTCTAATTTCCATCTCATTTCACCTGTCACACATAACTACTTCTTTATGACTAACTTTGTATTTCAGGTTCGTTAAGAAAAATCATCATTGTAATTACAGCTAAATCTGTTAAGAGTGAAAAAAATTCCCAGTAGCTTTATACCAGGGAATGTCCTGTAAGTCAACAGCAGTACAGGCCTAAAATTTCTTGTCAGTGTTTCCATTGCTCTGTCATAAGATTAGATCTACATTCGTGAAATAGTTTAAAATTATAGGACATGAAGTAGACTTACCTATAGCTTTCCCTCACACATCTTTCTGCAGCAACATAATCATTTCTGTGAAGATGAACTAAGACTTGAGCAATAGTTTTCTAAACAAAAACAAAAAACCCAACATGATGATTCTTTATAAATTAACAGTAAAATATGAGAAAAATAATGGACTGCTAATATTTAGCATGAAAAAGGTCACTCTGATCAGCAATGATTCTAAGATACTGACACAAGAAAGTCAGAACAATCAAAGTGAAAGAGTTGCATCCTCAGCTGGTATGAAATATATTATCTCCTATAACATTGTAATGAATTGTTGCACCAAGTAACAGCATTTGTAGTTTGTAACTTTTGATAACATATTTGATTTTGATGTTGCTTTTGACAGCTCCTGTAGACAACAGCATCTTATCTTCAGCATTACAGTAGTGAAAAAAAGTAATTAGAGGTTGGGGAAATATGCACTAGCACAAATTCTCATCATTTAGCAAGAAATGTATCCCTGAATCTAGAGGTACATACTGTCAGTCAGATGTCAGTTGTCATTAGTTACCCATGAAAACTTGAAACGCACGATCAGAAATTATCTCTTAGAATTTACCTTATAGCATGTTGGGTAATTTTCAATTTCCTTATAAATACTTTTTTCCTTTTGAAGAGACAGTGCAGCCTCATCTAATCTAAAAATCCAAACAAACAATTAGGATTATCAGTGACAGGAATAAAGCATAATGAACCTGAGGCTAGTTACAAAGTGCTTAACTAATACACTGGCAAGTCTACTAGAACAAAAAGCAACACAACTAAAAATCAGGAACAGGTTTTACTAACAGAGTAGATAAAGAAATATATAGTCAGCAATTCCTTTTGTATACATGCAGGCTAAGAACATCAGAGAAACCTCATTTTTCATAAACACTGTACAAGATGAATGCCTTGTTACGTACCCTCACAGATTTCTGTATGCCATGAGGTTACTATAAGCTATCAGTAAGTCTGATATCCATGAGCTATACATACTAAGTCATAGTAACTCACTTTGAGTTTGAATACTCTTTTAATTATCACATTAAAATTCTAGAAATTAGCAATAGCACATGAGCTATAAAGCAGCAAAACAACCAAGTCTTTCAGATGTTTTGAAGCTATTTTGACTCACTTTCACAGAAAGACACTCAGTTACTTTTTAAATTTCCTTTTCTGATAACCACTCTGCAGTGCAATAGTGTCATGAAAGTAGAATTAGAAACCTAGACAATTTCTTAAAGGAACTACCTGTTTCAGTGAAGCAAGTCTAAGCTTAACAGCAGGTCAAGTTTAGTGCTAGCAGTTAGCAACTAAAATTCCCACTGAGACACCACGATACACTCTTTTTTAAGAAACCCAGAATCAGACTGCTGCAAAGAGATTTCTTCCCTCAGATTAGTCACCTAATTCCTCCATTTCATATTCCACAGCTATAAAAGACTTTCAAGTACTTTCCACATATTAATTCTGGAAGGAAAAAAAAGAAGTTCCTGAAGTAGTTTAAGAATTAATGAAAAATGGTGTATGTGCTTTCTAGCTGTTCAACAAATGTAAAGGAAACAAAGCCTTACCACCCACATTCTCCCATCCCAGAACACAAAGCAGGTGGTTCTTGGATGAACATAGATAGCATATCCCAAAGAAACTGAATTTTAGTTTGAAGTGCATCTCAAAGAAGAATTAACTTAACAGTATATAAACCAAACAACAGCAAGGAAAAAAACAATTAAAATCACTATTAAAGATTCAATTACGTTTTAAAAAGCAAAGGCATAAAGCTATACCTGCGTCCTCTGACTAGAAGTCTTGATGCCTTCCCTAGCATTTCTAACGCTTGCCGTAAACGTTCTTCATTCTAGAGAAGAACAAAAAGAAACTGTGCATTTGCATTTCATTTGCATAGAATTAACATCCATCACTAGAACTTAATCTTAAGTATGTCATCTATAACTTAAAACAACTGTGAATTATTGTATCAGCAGTTCACATACTTAAAATAACATGAAGAGTGTCGGTGCACCCAAGTCCCAGAACCAGCTCCTGTATGGATCTACAGAACAGAGTAACAGGGACACAAACTCACTAATCTGAAAACACATGACAACTGATGATAGAGAAGTATGCCAAAGACAGTAGCAAAAAGGTAAATCTGCTCACGAGATGGGTAAAGCATCAACCAAACTGTTCTTTTGTGCCCTCAAGTATTTCAAACTATTTTAGGCTCCAGGACTTAACGGCAGCCATTTTCCCTACCCTCTGCGCTGCCCAACAAGAGGCAGAAAACTTGACAACATATGAAATTCAGATTCAGTCAAGTCCCAAACTGACAAAAAGGCAAAGCAAACTGACTCCTGACTTTTATAATCTCCCTCTCTACAGCATAAGAAGCCTTCAGCTTTATTCCTTTCACATCGGTGGCTGAGTAAGGAAAAATAATTTAGAACTTAGGCTTTTTCTTAACTTTACAGCTGACCCTAAACACCAATTCATTTACCTTCATATGCTTTCTGGGACTAAAAAGTTCTCTGCTGGTGCAGAAAAAAAAAAAAAAAAAAAAAACACCCACAAAACTGAACAACCCACAAATCCCCCCACTTACTTCAAACACTGATGCTGCTTGCTGATACAGCTGCACAGCCTTCTCTGGGCTCACATTTTCTATTAACCTGTAATAAAAAGAAATAATTTCTCTTCAAATGAAATTAAAGTATTTTTCACCAACAAGCACCAAAAAGACAAGAAAGAAAACCAAAGACATACTCATGCCCTGCATGCATTCCAGCCACCAATACCAGAGACTTACTTTCCAGCCCGTTCCAGTGCAATAGCTGCTGTATCTGGTGTCCCGTTCTCCAGGTACATCATACTGGCTTTCTCGATCAGCTGAACTGCTTCAGGTAGTCTCTGCATCTCCTGCAAAGCAATAGTCAGAGGGACACTGCTGTCAGGAGTTGTGCTTATGTACAATGAAACAAATGTAAATGAAACCAAACTGTAATACCTTATTTATTAAGATTCTAATCTTATTTGCAAACTCGTTAGTGAAAGCTGACCACCAACTGCATAAAACTCACTTGTAAGTACCAAACTTTCACGTAAGGTATGAATTTGTGGTAGTTCAGAGCAGAAGCAGCACCACTCTTACACTACCATCCAACATGAAGCCCTCACCTTTCCTTCTACAAAAGGAAAACCAATTTTTTTTTTCCCCACAACTACCAATGTCACTTCCTAACCTAGTGAGTGTATTGGTGGGGACTATGAGTCAACAGAAGAATACCACTCTAATATGCAGTTCTCTGAGATATATTTCTAAAATGGCCAGTGTACAATATTCTTCACTAAAAAATAGAACTTTTAAATAAAAACTAGTAAATGAAAATACCTTTAGCATCATGCCAGCTTGTTCATAAGCTCTGCAGAGAAAAAAATTACAATTTAGTTAGATATGGTATATTTCATCAGGCTGCATTTATGCAGCAAAAGTTAACATGCATCAGCTATTGCTTCACTGTTAATATTTCATGTTTTGAAAATATTTCAAGTGTTTTAATTAATGAGACAGTGCACGTGTACCATTATCTTCCACAAATGAAGTACTTCAACCACACTCCCCACTAAAAATCTTTTCTCATGATCTGACCCACAGGCAGTATTTGGACTATTTGTCATTATCTGCTTGCTTTGAAGTACTATTTAATAAAAATTACTTTATAAACTCAACAGCGTAGAATTTCAAAAATTACAAAAACATCATCTAAGAAAATATATTTGATATCAAAAGGTATCAAAGAATGTCAAAATCGTCATTTCTTCAGATGGCCATTGCACGTTTTAAGACTTTCCTAGGCCGCACTTCCATTAAACTGATTTTTAAACAGCGAAATCACTTGAACCATACCATTTACTACAGCAAGATCAAAACGATAGTTCATGCCTGTACCGTATGTTAGAAAATTTGTTTCAGATTACTCAGTGCTTCTGTACTTACTTGGCAGCATGGAAGAGACTGGAAGTAACATTGTCAAAGTCAAGGACAAAAGCCACAAAAATATAATACAGGTGTACAACATCTTATACAAGTACTAGTTTCAAAGCAATGAAACCCATAAAGGGAAATTGAACCTGCAACATTTGTAGGCAAGGTGTCACAAATAAATGCTTCTAAGGACAGAATAAATGCAGCATACCAAAGTATAACTGTATGTAAAGTTGTAAAGAGCACATTTATTTAAAATATGTTCCTGGTTACTAAATACTACCAGAAGTTCTGTAATAATGTCAGAGTTACGTTTAGTTTATACTATCCATTTGTAGGTATTTAAAATAAAAATAATAATAACTGAAGTAGTACCTAGACATCTCAGGCACTGGTCAGCATCGTATGAGTCCAGATGTTATTGGAAACAACACAGATTTTCTAATCAAGAGAGTTCTTTAGTTTTTCCACTCCGAGCATATAGAAAGTCTTTTAAAAGACAATTTTGTTAGATTGACAAAATATATTAAAGACACCATCTACCAACCCCCTTTACCAGATCTAAGCAGCAAGTAGTCAGCTTCTTGGGAAATAAAGAACAATAATCAATGAAAAAGATACGCTTTATTGTTTTCATGTGCCTCAGCTTCCCGTAAACAGGCTTCCCTTGCCTGGTCAAACTGCTTGGCATTCTTAAAAGCAACAGCTGCAAGAAATCAAATAAAATTCTTATTTACAGCTTGCCATTTTCCTTTTTTCACCACTTCTGCTCAAGAATTTAGACACCTAAAGAAGCAAACAGATTCTTTAAATGAACAGTTTACCAAGTTCTTCCAAAAAATCGCATGACAGTCCTCCTTGCTTCATTAGTCACTTAGTTATCATTAAAAACATTTACTGTCAACAATACTTCCATACCATCACCGTACCACACACTGTGCATAATGTGTTTAGTTGGATTTTGCAAATAACTCATTCTGTATTTTAATTACAGGACTGTAGGAATGCATGTGTATATAGTTTTAATCATCAAAGGTTATACAAAATCAGTATGGCAGGAATAGAAGTGTACCATCAACAAAGCATACCTGTAATAACTACCTCAACACAACCACTTCAGGGCACAAATACGTAATTCTACTGCCATTATACTGATATGATATTAAAGTAGAATTTAAAATAAATTTTAATATTAACACAAATGATCCAGTTGCTCTCCCACATTTGTGGCTTTTTATTCAGGCTTCAATAAATGAGTAGGAATGCCTAGAGTAAGAAGCCAAAAAACCCATGATAAATTACTAAGAGCAAAAAGGAATCAACTAGTAAGAATTTTGAATTGTGTGACTCTTGCAGTGGGAAAAAAGGAGGAAAGAGATCTTACTATGCCTAAAAAACACCTGGCAGGATCTCTCTTAGTGAGACAGTCTTTGTCAGGACATACTTCACAAAATGGTGAAAAATCAAAATTTCAAAATTTGTTGCTTTGTAGGTAAAGTCATAGGATTTGGGGGTAGACAAGTGAAAGAAGGAAAGCTTTATTTTTATCATACATAGTAATACAAAAAGTAGAAGTTGTAAGCTTGGGAAAAAAAAACCCCACCACACAAACCTGTTTTGACAACTGTTCTAGATCTCCAAGTACAATCTGAATTTTATTTTACAGTGCTATGAAGAGTATGTTTTGTTGTTGTTTCAGCTTACTTGTCCTCACAACAGTTTTACTTACACAGCAAAGTACTGAAAATATGTAAAATGCTATCAGGGATTCAGACTAAAGAATAGTTTGAAACCATACAGTATATGGCCATATTTAAAGCCATACATACCTGCCTTCCCATATTCGGTAGCTGCACTGTCATAATCGGGTTTCCACTTTAAGAATCCAGTTTTTAGACTAAAATGCAAGAAGAAATGCCTATTAACAATTACTAAAGATTTTATGTTTTACCTTCAAACAGGAACATTTAAACTTTGGACTACATCTGAAAAGGAGCAATTACCTATATGTCAATACTATGGTAGCATCACTACTGTAAAAATAAATGCCAGCATTGTTAGGAATTGCACAAAGCACTACAACGATCTCCCATAGTTACATGCCTCACCCTAACATGTTTCTACTGTCCCCAGACAGTCTTCACAAGTCCAGCTCCTCAACAGTGAGAAGTCAACAGAAGAAAAATACTTCTAACTACACAAGCATGATATCTCAAGATTTCTAATACCACAACAGCTGACAATTTCTGTTACACAGTATTAAGTTTCCAGTGTCCCTCTACTGCATTTTTTTTTCTGCTGAGAATTATCACTCTCCATTGCATACACAAATGAAAAAATTCACATACCAACACAAAGTCAAAGCCTCATATGGCATTTATACATGTACAACAGATTATGACACTGAATGGGACCATGAGCACAAACATATATATATATATATAGGGAAAAATATACATTGCAAAATGAGGTGAGTCATCAGGCAATGTTGATTTCAATATTATGACTTCCTCACTTCTAAAACAAATATAAAAATCACCATAACTTTAGAGTGCACTTCCATATTAGTTGTAGGCAGTCACTTGAGACGCAACACATGCTTAATTTGGAAAAACAGTTGTATATAGATACTATGTTGGTTTTGTTGTCTTATTTGGACAAAAATCACAGTACATAACTTTAAAGCAAGCCTTTATATTGTGTTATTTTTATCACAGCCAAAGTCTCAAATGTATCAAGCAGAAATATACAATGCTTCAATCTACACACAATTTGAGATTTAGGTGCCTTTTATTTCAAATGCTTTCCAGCATAAGCTTAAAATTAATTTCGCTGAAAGGCCCTTTTGGTCAAGTAATTTGGATAAAATACTCTGGTACAATTTTCTTTATTCTAAGGTCATCTCTCCTCTACCACAGTTTATACTTTTGATCCATGATTTTCAGATGGCCCATTACTGTTCTTATTAGAATTATAGCATCTTTGGATTAGTCAGCTCTGTTACTATGCTGTAGCCTGCAAAAATGAGATTTATAAGCCGAATGGCTACATTCAGTGTTAAAACACACGTTAAAAGACTATCATATGGAGATGTTAAGCCCTCTAAGGTAAAGGTCAGCACAGGTCTTTGAGACCATCTAAAAGGAACAATCACACATTTCTCATAGGCAGGAAACACACACACACACACACACACCCCCACCCATCTCAGCAAGGTTAAGCTCTTTTATTCACCACAACCCCCATAACTTTTTCTCCCACTATCTTTAGCAGAAGAGCAGAAGTGACTCCCCACACTTTCCAGTTAGGGTGAGAGTAATAAAGGCTACATGGTCCGTAAAGTATCTGCTCAGGCTCCAGTCCTCCAAGCCAGACAGCCTCACCGACACGACTTTTCAGCTGTAGGGCCGCTTTAATTCCCCCCGTTAAGGGGAAGGAGAGTGCCCTTAAGCACCTCCTGTGGCAACTGACCCCCGAAGCAGAAGAGTGGCCGAGCAGCCGTGTCCTCCTATTCCCCCCGCGCCAGCCGCCCCCAGCTCCGCACCTCTCTCCCCTTTCCCCGAGGTCACGTCGCCTGGCACAAGCGGTCCCCCCTCAGTCCCCCGCGGAGGCCACCATCTCCCCACCGCTCCGCGCAAGGCACCACGGGAGCTGTAGTTCCCCCGAGGACTCCACTCCCGGCGCGGGCGACCGCGATAACTACAACTCCCAGCACAGCCTCTTGGCCCAGTTCCGCAACCTGGGACAAAACGAGCCCCACGTGCCATACAACGCTACTCCATCATGGAGTACAGGAGTAAAGGCCTGGGATGGAGGCCTGGGTATTATCAGACTTGCAGGATTAATCCTAAAGATGCAGGCCTGATAGCTGCACCTAACTGCCCACCCTTCTCATGACACTAAAAAATCAAAAGTTCATAAAGAAGGTATTGAGAATGAATTTAGAAAGTTGTGGATTGCTCTAGAAGGAACGGGAAAGTCCCACCAATCTGGGATCTAAAGGCAGTTGTGGTTATTCCAGAAGTGGTTTGAAGTGAAGTCCCATCTGAGAATGGGAGATTTCTTCTTCAGAGGTCATCTTTCAGAGACCTACTAACTGGTGGAAGGAAGAATTTTTTAATTCGACCAGGTTGTCATGTCAGGGCCATGGAATTGTCAGCTTTCAAAAAGATAAAATAAGTAACAAGTGGATTGAATGTTATAGGGGCGTTCCCCACAGGAAGCTCATTACTGCCTTACAATTAAGAGCTAATGTCTACTCCATGGGGGAATTTCTAGCGTGGGTTGAGAGGAAACTCAGTATCTGTCAGCACTGTCAAGCTGAGAGTGAGACTTGCACACATATTATTGGGTATTGCCCAGCAGTTTGGGAAGTCAGGATCAAAATACATAATAACTGCATGATGTACTGGCTGAGGAAGCTCAAAAGGATTGTCTAGTGTTTCATGAGCCACTCCTATGAGTCCACCACCAAAACTAGCTCTACAAGCCTGACATAATATTTATTAAGGGTGGTCAGGCACTGGTCGTGGATATAACCATTAGATATGAAGGCAAATTATCATCACTTGCTAGCGCAGCCACTGAGATGGTGAGGAAATATCAATACCTTAGGGAGCAACTCCAGGAGGTGACATGCCAATGATATAGAGTTCGTCAGATGCCCCAATGGAGCATGTGGGAAGTGGTATGGTGGCAATTTCAGGCTTTTATCTGACCTTAGGCCCTCAAAAACCCAACAGGAAAAGGCGGCTCAATTCTTCCCCAGAAGGGCTTTATTCACAGTTGTAGGTATTGTACATATCTTTGTGAGTCATAAGCAAACTAGTGCATAAAATTAAAATAACTGTAAATAAATTACATTTGTGCGTTGTCA